TTTTGTTTGTTTCTATTGATGTGTAAATTCTTTGTTGCCTTTAAATTACTTGTATAATTACAAAAGTACAAATAACATATTGGATTGAATTGAAAATTAATTATGAGTATATGTATTGCAAATTTTATTTACTATGATATGCTATGTTTATTTTATACAGCCTAATACATGATTTAAAATTATAAAAGAAGATGTAATTAATGATGTGTAAAGATCTATATAAAAAACGAACAATTGAATATAAACATCAAAAGGAAATGCAAAATGTTACTAATCAAAATCTGCAAAGTTTTCAGTCCCTGACATTGCGAAAATAATCAGCCTGATATGTTTTAGCAACAGACGTTCACATTCCACAACACTCGTTACTAAGCTTAACGCATGAAACGAACTACGCCCATTCAAATATCCTCTTCTTTTTTTTTACATACATGAACACTCATCTGTATATACAATTTCTGCAGTAAAAATGCGTTTTTCATATGTATACATGTATAATATAGACCCATAACTACAACGGGAAGTATATAGCATCTGGTAGGTTCGTATATCGTCCCATGATCCTTCACTTTCTAGCCAGCAGACGACAAGTTATAAACAGATATTCAATTCACATTTAAGCAGATGACCTATTGGGGAACATTCCGGTAGAATAAATTAAATAAGACGTTATGGAATAATCGAATCAGCGGTAGCTCTAGAGGTGACATTTGGTTGTTTTCATCAAATAAATAATATGTTAATTATGTCTATTAAAGATGAATGCAAGACACACACATGTGATGATACAGTATGCCAACTTTAAATAAATTACACTGCATCATACAGCTATTTCGTTCTGTGACTAATTAATTATGCTAAAGGGCCAAATGAATTCGATCAAAATTCGTTTAAGATGTATTTTGTATTGGTTTACGGCCCATCGACAATATGGGTTATTTAGAGCCAAATAACACTGTGAAAAATAGACATTATTTAACTACTGTTAAAACAAAAAGGGGGTACGTAAGAAAAACTTTTTATTTAAGTTTCAAAGATCGGAGGATAACTGATTAATTTCAAACTCGATGATGATTAAAATGTATATAATGTCATCAAGGTTACGTCAAATCGCGGTGACTAAATTATTCTTTATCCTGGTATTGTTTTTGGCGTCACTATGCTTGTTTATTGATAACGTCACTAAAATTGTTGACTATGCACTATGTTGACATATACGATTTTTTCTTTATACATTATTTATATAGAATAAAAACATAAATATGTCAGATCTTATGGTAGGCCTTTCTGCCTTCTAGGGCTTCTCCAGGCGGATTAATGTGTATTTATCACCGTTGGTTACATGACGTCATCAATATTTACATAGTCAACAATGTTAGTGATGTCATTAATAAACAAGCATAATGACGTCACAAACAATACCATGATAAAGAAATCATCTATATACAATACCGATATATATATATTTATATAGGTTCTGCTTGTTGATATTTTTGTCTCCGCAGTTTGACGTAACCTTGGTAACCACAATTATAACTTTTGAGTAGTGGCACGGTATACAGTTTAATATATACATAATCATCAATTAATAAGTTATCCTTTCTCTGATATTTAAATAAAAAGTTTTTCTTACGTACCCCCTTTTTGTTTCAACAGTAGTAAATTAAAGTCTTTTTTTTTCACAGTGTCATTTGGCTCTAGAACTACCGCGGATGGATTCGTTTATTCCATAATGTCTTATTTAATTTGTTCTCGCGGAATGTTCCCCAATAGGTCATCTGCCTAAAGGTGAATTGAATATCTGTTCATAACCTGTCGTCTGCTGGCTAGAAAGTGAAGGATCATGGGACGATATACGAACCTACCAGATGCTATATCCTTCCCGAATAGAAAAAAGGTAACGAACCAATGAGAGCATTCGATACTGCGTCCATGGATGTAGATTTAAAGGCTGCTGTTGCTATCAACTTTCATTCTTACTAACAAACTGACTCCACTAGCCTCCATCGCCGACATATACAAAGAAATATACAGGTAATTATTTTATTCTCATGTTCCACAGATTGTAGTTAAGGGTCTATGTGATACATGTATGAAAAACGCATTTTTTACTGCAGAAATTGTATATACAAATGAGCGTTCATGAATGTAAAAAAATAAGGATATTTGAATGAGCGTAGTTCGTTTCATACGTTTAGCTTAGTAACGAGTGTTGTGGAATGTGAACGTCTGTTGCTAAAATATATCAGGTTGACTATTTTCGCAATGTCAGGGACTGAAAACTTTTCAGATTTTAATTAGTAACATTTTGCATTTCCTTTTGATGTTCATATTCAATTGTTCGTTTTTTATATAGATTTCTACACATCATTAATAACATCCTCTTTTATAATTTTAAATCATGTATTAGGCTGTATAAAATAAACATAGCATATCATAGTAAATTAAATTTGCAATACATATACTCAATATGCTATTTGTACTATTCTGATTATACAAGTAATTTAAAGGCAACAAAGAATTTATACATCAATAGAAACAAACAACTAATATTAAATATTTAATTTTGTCCGTGGTTTCAACCCCATTTTCCTAAATTCTGGGGACTGTTTTATGAAAAGTCAAGAGTCGAGTATGAATTGCATGTTATCTGAAGATAAGATCATGAACATATATTTGGTGTATACAATAGTTTCAACCGGAACGCGTTGCTGAATTATTAAAATTAGAGACACTATATGTTGACCCGAGACTGAAATTGCTTGCTAACAGATAATATGCACAAAAACACACGTATGTTAAAATATTGAAATAATTTTGAAATATTAATATAAATTGTGCTTTTTATGTGTTTTATTCTTATACTACTAGGTCCGTATTTAATCAAAGTAACTATTGAATATATAGTAACAGAACATGTATATCTTGAATTAAACTTTAGAGAAAATATAGTATTTAACAATGATAAAAAGTTATGTCAGCTGATGTTAATCGGTATCGTTGACTCGGGTAAAAGCGCTCAGGAGGTCTAATGTAGGGTGAACCGGAGTACTCGGAGAAAAGCCACGTGATCGGACAGTAATTCCATGCCTGTTCACGTCCTATCGGGATCAAATATCTGAAACAGTGTTCTGAGTGTAAAACGCACTGATGACAGACTAGGATTCGAACCCTAGACCTCACATAATTTGTCTGTCGCTCTAGCCATCTGAGTTACAAGGTAAACGAAAGTACGCTGGCCAGTTGTGTTACAGCTACTAGCTATGTTGAATATATGTATAAAAATATACCGTGGATTTTTGAAGTATTTTTTCTACAGTCAGTGGGCAAAAGATACTCAAGTTTTCCTTTTTGTTTTGAATTTGTTAGTATTTTGAATATACAGATGCTTTGTTTTAAATTTTCAGAAATCATGACTGACAGGAAGGCCGTCATCAAGAACGCCGACATGGCTGAGGACATGCAGCAGGACTGCGTAGACTGCGCCACACAGGCTCTGGAGAAGTACAACATCGAGAAGGACATCGCTGCCTACATCAAGAAAGAGTTCGACAAAAAATACAACCCAACCTGGCATTGCATTGTGGGACGTAACTTCGGGAGCTATGTCACCCACGAGACCAAGCATTTCATCTACTTCTATCTCGGACAAGTTGCCATCCTGCTCTTCAAATCCGGATAAACTCTAGAAATTGACTCTGATATATCTAGGTCAAGTTGCCATCCTGCTCTTCAAATCTGGCTAGCCTCGCTATGGAACGCTTTAAAACATATTACAAGTGCGACACTTTATTGCCTACTAGACTGTGTATTATTTTATTCACCATTTTATTCTTCATTGAAATCTGAAGACGGCCTAAACAGACGGAATGCATTAATACAAGTAGTGTTGCTTCACAAAAACGTTACCAGGGATCAATCTGTTGTTACTGAATAAATGCTATGGTATTTTGCATAATCTATTACACTGATATTATAAGGAATGTGAACAATTCACTTTTTTATTTTATGCTGAACTTTTTGTTCAGTACAACTTGTTAATACATATATATTTACAAAAAAAATGCTTTTGTGGTTTTTATTATGTGCCTTTGTGCTCAAAATTATTTTTTGTTGTATTTTCGATCAAAGACGTACGACTCCTATAAGAACAATCGATGCTCATCTTAATATTCAAAGTGTGACTGAGTCACTGGTTGATCATGGGCTGATGTTGTAAACATGACGTGATGCACTATTTACAGTTTATTTATATAAGAACATATGTACAATCACAGTGCTTTCCGTCCTAAATCACATGTTGTTCCTATGGTGTACTTCAAAAAACAAAACTGGCTATCCGAACACACTCATCATTAAAACGTATCATATCACACATTCTGACCACACATTAATACACTTATACTTCTCAATTAGTATTTCTCCATAACTTTTCTTATCCTTATTGTCAACGTTAATTGCTGTCATTAGATCCATTTCATATTAACTCATTCACCCCTAAAATTTCATAATGAACTATTCTAGCCTTTGACTTCAGGGGTGAATGAGTTAAATCTTACCACTTATTTTCAAACAAATAAATAATGCCAGAATCTCTATGGCCACTCTCCAATAATTACAGCTGACCAGCTATGTCACTTCGTCCCGTATCAACCAATCAATGAAAATTGTTGAGTCTTTGTCCAACTACCTAATTATTTGTCTCTCCCCATTTTCCCAAAGATAACACATTCCCAGAAATATATGTCGCGGTTTGTGGCATACTCTATCAATAGAAAACGTTTCTAATAATAACGGTACTACGACTTCTCATATATATTAAATTTATAAATTTTATAACTTTTTATGAACATTTTTGTTAATGCTATTTATCTCAGTCTGGTATAACATTTTTCGTCGTTTCTACGGAGAGAGGAAAAACTTTAACACCATTTAATCAAAATACAAAACTTTTACAGTTAGCAAGTTTAGACTCGCACAGAAATAATTTGCATGTAACGTGTGTAGATCCACAGTTTCACCAGGCGAATCAAACATTGTTGGATACCTTTCATGTGTAAATGAGTCTAGCCGAAATATAGAAGCCTAGCCTTTTAAACACATCTAGCGTGATCGATCGATCGTTGGATTGGCCTCCCACCCATCCCTTATGTGTATGTACATCTACATAAATAAACCGCTGAAAGGTGACATCTTCACGTCACATTTCATGTTGTACCTTGAAAGGGAAAAGGTGAAAAGCACCCGGGTGATGAGCACAGCCAGGGACAGGACACGTGTCATTCATAACTTAAGATATAAATGGGCCTCACAGTATATATACCTATTCATATTTACTGCGACGCTCATTTATATGTGAAATGTGCCTGTGGTGATGAGCAAGTTGTGTTTCGTGATTAATGATATAATGTGAATGTACAACCACATTAAAAAGACACGATATTCCAGGTTATGTACAGTTGCAGATTCGGGCTGAAGACAACACGTAAGTTGTTAAACTAAAGATCAAAGTGATGTGAGAGGGCAGCAGATCAATGGAGTGGAACAGGTCGTCTGTATGAAAACTAGCACGTTTTTTCAATTTACATAAACATATTTGTCGTGGAGAACAGATGCAAACATATTTACCCTCCATGTTTTCAGGCATAGGGGTCGTTTTCAGTTAGAATACTTCAGTGTGACGAATTTCGCATCATAAGTACTTAAATTTAATTTAATGTCGTTTCTCCATAAATACTTGAAAATGACGAGGGTAACTTTTTGTAGTACACGTCATGCATGAAGCAAATCTTTGGGTAGGGGTCAGTCGATTCAAACGTCTGCAAGTTTGACCAATGTTGACATAATCTTGAGGTAGATAATACCATTGACGATTTACATTTGAAAATCATTTTTATTTCTTAAAATATATAAGTAATGTTTAACAAAATAAGATAGAAACCATCAACCACGATGCCACTGTGTATAAAATATGTTATTATAATTAAAATCATATATAATGTAATATTAACAAAAATATCGATACCTTTGGAACAGAATAATAAGTCTTTATAATATCAATTGTGAGTAATATCACATGAAAAAACAAAACATCAGTTATGTAGCAACTGAATCACCCTCGATATTCCGGGCGGAACAAAATCTTCTTGAAAAAATCACTTAGGTGGTTAACAGTTCATGACAACGATGTCTACTCACGGTTCATATAATATAGATCTCATATGTATGCCACAGATACAAATATATAGTATTTTACGGAATAGAACACTCAAAATACATGTCCATGTCGTTGTAGCACTTCTCTGACTCACTTTTAAAAATGGCCTCCTGGGTCAGTACAAAACAGCAGGGGGGATTTCAAACGGATCTAAATGACACGGAGTTTGCTTGTATTCCACTTGTAGAACATTACATGTAATCCATTTTTGTATTAACCGCAAAATCAAGGCAAATGTTGTCTGCTTCATTTCGAAAGAGGAAAACTCATTATTTTTTGTCTTTGTCACGGATTTCTTCTCATTTAGTAATGGATTTTAGAAACCCTAAGTCCGAACTTTGAAAATTTGATCTTCAGCATCGGGAAAATCAGGAATATGTCATAGCAAAATTGAAGGCACGAAAATAGCTGTTTGATTGGTCTCAGATACAAATAACTGAACAATCGCTAGGCTGATACCTGTCCTTAAAGATTACAAAGGAGAGACGCCCGACTTTAAAGCCTGTCAGGTTTTACCGTTACGTGACCGCGAGGTTCTTTTGATGTATATCAAAGAATCGAACTAGTCTCATTAACAAGGTGGCGCACACTGAGCTTTCATTTTGGCTATGACATATTCCAGGGGTGCAGAGAGCGAAAGTGAGCGTAACCCCTGGATATCGAGGATGCCACTGAATATGAACTTGCAGTATTTCTCTACTGAAAGCTTACCACAGCCTGTGCCTACATGAAAGGAAATATATATCAACATTTATAGTGAAATTGGGAAATTGTTTCTCCTTTTTGCTCCATTAAAGGAAAATAACATACGTTTTGATAGGGAAAGCTGAAAGCTCCCTCACAAAGGTAAATACACTCACCTATTTATAATGAATTTAGTGTAGGGTGAGGGTACCATAAACAGATATTCGTTTGAACAAATATCTTTCCATTTTTAGAGGGCATTTATATTGTTGTACCGCACAGTTTCCCGGCTTTTTTCATTTCATTTTTTTGAATATTTCAGTGGAGTTTATGAGCAATATTTAAGTAGTGGGGAGATAAAATTTGTTCAAATGCTTCAAACTATATAATGTTGAATAAGAATAATAAACAATTATTTTGCATTGCAAAATAAAAATGCTGCATTATATATATCAAAAGTGCTCCATTTTGGATACCCTCATCATATTTAATAGTAGATAAAACATAAGGCCATTATTATAAGTGCTGTAATATAATTAAAAGCTTTGGCATATAACTATAAACAAATCATAAATGCTGTTATGCTTAAATATATAAACATAAAAAATAGTATGAAATAAATCAACAACTGAAATTTTGGACAAAATGGACAGAAAGTATTTTTAAATCGGCCTTTTAAAATTAAGTTAACACAAACCTATAGCCATTGAGTGTGATATAATAAAAATCGCACGTTAAGTGTGCTGAATAGTAAACAATGTTTCAGGCCTTACAACTGTATGGACCACGAACGATTACTCCAAGTAGAGACCGTGACTGTGACTGTGATAATAGGACTGAGGTCACAATTATATGCTTCCGGGTTCAGTACCCACGAATGAAGTCCCTTAGAAATATAGGTACTTTAGTAAAAACTATACTATGCCTCTTAGAACTTGGTGTTTGTGTAAAAGTTTGGTGTTAAAATACTGTGGAGATATCAATCTAACAATTTCTGTGTCAAATTTTTATATTGTGCATTAATTTTTTGTGCAGGGTGCTGTGTGAAAAGTCCTGTGTTTACCTCTACCCCTGACCCGGAAGTTTATTTTTGACATTGGTGACACCTGCAGACGATTATCTCAAGAAAAAGGCCAACATGCTATGTTGAAATTTTGATATTTTACTCCCAAGATGTTGCTCTTGACCAGGTTAGATGGAAAGTTGGCTATCGGATATTGGGAATTTGTTATGAAATTAAATGTTACAATGAAACATATAGTAAAATTAATTGTGGTCTTAGTCCCACATGTGTCGTCTGCTGCAGAAGGATCATGGGTCGATTATGACTCGAATATGTGCCGCTAACTCCACCAACAAAATAACAGTCTTTGTCCAGTTAGAAAGCCGTGCATTGCGTTCATGTAAATATCTGTTGCTAGCGACTCTCACTTTCCTCGGTTGTAGAACAAATCTGAGACGAAGTAGGTCTAGCAACAAGAGACAGGTGCGTTTTAGATTATTTTAAGATATGTAGTTACCGTGTAATTTAATATTTGTCGTTTCCTTTATCTTAATAATGTATACGGTATTTATGTAGGTCAAAAAACATGTAACGAAATATTGTCTTATGCATGTCTATGACGACCATTGGCGTCGAATATATAATTATTTTAGAGAAAAACAACCCAGATAGTATTTATTAAATATACATGTTTCGGATAAATATGTTTCTGACCGATTTGTTAAATGTTATAGGAAAGTACCTCTTTGGCAACCATCTCTCCCGAGACCAAACAAAGTTTAAAACAATCCAAAGAGGGAAGTGGGTGGGTGGATGGGTGGTTGTTTAAATGGATCATTGGTCACCACCTTCTTAAATAGTAATAAAATATTTCTTTGATATTATCTACATTTATATACGTGAAAAGGAAAGTTTCCACAGAATTTAAAAATAATTTTGGCATTGTATGCCGGTATTACCATTATTACTTGACGATCTATGATATGTTTATCAAAACTGAAAAGCTATATAAGTAAGTGAAGAAATCTTGACTACACTTTAATTGTTTTCAATTGACAGGTTTTATTATAATGGAGAGAAAAAAATAAAAAGTCATATAACATAAAACGTATAAAGATAATTATCTACAAGGAAATTATACAGTTGTCTATAGCAATTACACATGGTAAAAATAGTACTGTATGTATATACGCTCACTTCCGCTCTGTGCAGAGAGCGACAGTGAGCTTAACCTCCTCTGGAGTATCGAGGATGGCATTCACTGATCCGATATGTAATACCATACACACAATGTTTAATTAACTTCTGAAATTCTGTTTTCAAAAAATGCAAATACTAGTTTGATATAGGAATTTTTGCGAAGGCGATTGATCCAAAAAATGACACCAATTAATAGTATTTTTTGCCATTATTTTTAGAAATCATGACTGAAAGGAAGGCCATCATCAAGAATGCCGACATGGCTGAGGACATGCAGCAGGAATCTGTAGACGGCGCCACACAGGCTCTGGAGAAGTACAACATCGAGAAGGACATCGCTGCCTACATCAAGAAAGAGTTCGACAAAAAATACAACCCAACCTGGCATTGCATTGTCGGTCGTAACTTCGGGAGCTATGTCACACACGAGACTAAGCATTTCATCTACTTATATCTAGGACAAGTTGCTATCCTGCTCTTCAAATCTTGATAAACTCTAGAAATTGACTCCGATGTACCTGAGACAAGTTGCCATCATGCTCTTCCAAGCTGGCTAGATTCTTAAAATAATTGACTCAGATGTTTCTCTATCATTTGTGCTGAAAACCAAAAATGCATTGAAGAGCTTATCTACAGTAACATACATGCCAAACAAATCTAGTCAGAATACTGCCACCACCGAAATAACAGTGTTTAAATGTTTTTCGCCGGCATATCGAATGACCAAAGACTATTTCCATAAAAGAAATGTTCGTTTTCTATTTATTTTATAAGAATGAGTTTGTATTGTTAAAGGGGCATAACGGTGAAGTAACTTTATTTTTTGTCTTTTTTTTTCAAATACTACATAAACATATCAAGTGAGACTCCTTATGGAAAATAACGATCGGATTTGGCTGAAATAGATTCATAAAAATGATTAAATCTAAGAAAATCATCGGTATTTCTACCTGTCTGACCAACGTTTTGTTCAGGGATTTCCCTCTACTAGCGCATGCGCATAGCACACCATTTCTTTGTAAACAAAATGACTGGCCGTGTGAAGTAAGCGAAAGAAAAGTGTTGTACCGTGTCAGCTACGAAACG